GAGTCCGCTGCGGCGGCGCGGGTCGAGATGGCCAATTACCTCCAGCAGGAGGCGGCCGCGCTCAGGGAGCAGCGAGCAATCTGCGACGAGGTCCGCGCGGCGTCCCTGCCGACTCGCCTCCGACGCCGGTGACGACGACGGCGAGGACGACGGCGACGACATCGACGACGACGAGGACGCCAGCGACCGCCAGGACGGCGACGACGGCGACAACGACGCCGCCGAAGACGCTGGCGACGACGACGACGGCGTGGACGACGACGACGACGACGACAACGGCGACGACGACGACGACGACGACGACGACGACGACGACGACGACGACGACGACGACGACGGCTTCGGCGGCGGCGGCGGCGGTTACGGCGACGACGAGGACGACGACGAGAATGACAACGGCTACTTCCCCGTCGCTTCCTCGGAGGACCACCGCCACATCATCACCATGCATCTTTAGATGTCTCCAGAGGCCTCGAAGACAGCTCCCGAGGCCTCAAGATCGCTGGGGACCTCTCCTTGGGATGCTGGTGTTAATGCAAATCTTTCTTGGATCTACGCCTCCAGGAGCGAACTCGGAGTTCTTGAGGGCCGTATTCCTTTCGCCTGTTGTGTCGCAAGGCGCCCGCCGGACAGCCAAGCGTCGCTTACCATGACGCTCCAGGGGGGGTCACGCATGAGCACGGCCCAGATCCCTACTTGGATACCCCCCTCCCTCATCCCCCCTCCAACCACCCCTGGCGCGCGCAGGAGCGGGCGCGGGCAGGGGGGTGGGTGAGAGAGGAGGAAGAGGGCGCACGCGAAAACACGGGCGGAGGAGGAGCAGGGAGGCATGAGGGAGGAGGGAGGCGGAGTCAATTGGGCACTTCAGGGATGCGGATGCAGGGCGCACCATGGTGCAACACAAGATGCTTACAGTGATATTAAAGAGCATGGCTTATCGTGCAGATCCCTGAAGCCGGATACTTCTACTGCTGACATTCCAGGCGGACAAGACAAGGCAGACCAGCACGGGAGTACCACGGGATATTGCCTAATCCTCCAGCCGCAAGCGGGTCCCGAGAGGGGTCCCGCAAGGGAACCCGGAGGGAGGGGCAGAATCCGCGAGCATGCCCGCGGTTCAATTCGTGCTATGGCCCTTTGGTTTAGCGTGTCGCGCCGCCGGTTCTGGCCCACCGCGTTTCGGTGCCACGCGCTATCCGCGTCGCGGTCGCCGGGCGCCAGCGTCCCGAGCTGTTCCCAGCTTCTGCCCCGCGGATCGGAACGACACGCGATCAGTTCACTGGGCATGGCGTGTTGTCGGGGCCACCGTCGTCACACGCTATGCTTGAGTCGGGCCTGTCCCTCAACAGGGGGAATATTCCAAAATAGTCCAAAAATTGTCTGGGGATGATTTTTCGACCACTTCTGAATATCTTGGAGGGGTATTTTGGCTTGTACTGGTTTCGACGAAAATCCGCCTGTAGGGGCACACGCCCGACCGAACGCTATGCCCAGTGGCTCTTCTGCTGCTCGGCCCGCGCGCGCGGGGCGGAGGAGGCGTGGGGCCGGGCCGGGCGCCCGCCTGCCTCGGCCGCCCCGGGAAGGGGCGGCGCAAGTCCTGAGGTCGTCCTCTCTCGAGCGGGGGCCGCCGAGCGGATAGCCATCGCGTGGCGCGCGACGGTGTCGGGCGCACGGCTGGTGCGCATCCTGCCCGGTGAGAGAGCAGTCGCCGAGGCCAAACCCGAAGGCGGCCATCGCATCCCAATGTTGGGGCTCTGCGTCACGCTGAACTGAATCGGTCGGGCATGACGTGGCGTCCCCCTGCCCTGCAGCGTGGAGCTGATGCCGGTCTTCATCCTGTCGATGTCCTGCTCGGCAGCCTCCGCGTGCTGCTCCATGTTTTCCATCCGCATGGTATATTGATGCAGCGCGGAGTTGAGGGCACCCTTCATCATGTTTATGTTCTGCTTGACCGTCTCCACATTATGCTCACTGTTGCCATCAGCTGCTCCTTGGTGCTGTTGATATCCATCTTGAGGCCAGCCTGTTGCATGGCATGGGCCGAAAAGCAATGTAATGACACATTGAGCAGTAAAGATATGTGTTTGTTTCGAAAGGCGATGGCAATATAGGCTGGACCCAAGACGGGAACGCAGAAAGTTGGCATAAGTGTCAGTGGAACAACTCGACGAAATATCCAATGGCCAGTTGGAACCCATCCGCCGTCTAGGCGAAAGCGAGTCCCACACTTTGCTCGCAGAAGTGCAGGACAGTCAATATTGTCAGCACCCTGCCTCGGTGGACTCTATCGTGGCAATGAAAGGGACAACTTGGATGATTGAGGTACCCCAGTTTTCAGAAACGGAGAAACACAAACACACAAATGGTTTTGATTGGTTTTACGCCGGAAAGGAGGCGTCGTTGAGAGGGTGCCTGGCACGGATGCGGGGATCGGGGTGGCGTCGGTGTTTGGAGCTGGCGGTTTGCGTGGCAAGTGCGTTTAGCTGGCCGTATTGGTTTGGAACGCGTGACGGGTGGAAAGGCCGCTCACCAGCAATTGGCAGTCATTTGCCTGCGTGCCAGAACATATCGTCGCTCGCTCGCAACGGGGCGTGGGAAAAGGGGGTTGGGAAGAGAGCGCGAGTCTCCTTCCCCAAAAGTCCTCTCGATGGGCAGCAACAAATAGTTTCCGATTCATATGCCGCACGGCCAACCGAACGGTTGAACAACTGTCTCGGCGCGCAGGGTGACCTTCCCTTGCGCGCATCCTGGCTTCCTTCCGTTGCTTCTTTCGCCTCTTTCTCGCCCTCCTCTTCCTTTTCCTCTTCCCCTGCTTTGCCTTGTCCCACCCCCCCTTCCTTGCCAGCTCGGAGCTGTCACCGCGCGCGAAAAGCGCAACCCAAAGGGCGCTGCTGTAATTCCTTTGTGTGCCACGAAGTCTTGCGTAATTCCTTTGTGTGCGGTCTGGTGGCATTGCAAACGCGGGGGGCACACAAGAGAATTTCCTTTGTGTGCGATCGTTTTCGACCGCCCCACAAAAGCATGCGCGATTCCTCTGTGTAGAGCTTGTTTTCCCGCTTCGAGGAGCGCACGGGGCCTGGCGCTACAAACGCAAGGCCGCGGCGCCTGGCACTGCGATGCAGCTGCGCCAGATACCACGCCCAAGCGATCCTACGTGGGTTTCGGCACTTATGCCGAAATCGCGCTGGCAGCTGGCCAGCCACATCGCCGGCCCTGCATGCCGTCGCGCGCTGCTGCGTTCTGCTGCCGCGACGCGTGCTGCTATCAACGGATGAATTAACTGACGTTGCACGGTGGTTTGGCTGTGCCAAACCACCGTGTAATGTCTGTTGGTAGCGGAGCTCGGGATCTTGTCGCCGCCGACAGCGCTGCCACATCATACCTGTCAACTGCATCTTCGAGCACGGCCGTAGAGCAACCCTGGGTCGGGTCGCCGGGGATCCAGTGGCATGGGTGCACATGCGTTGCACCACTGGTGGTGTTTAAACCTTCAAATCTGTGTACGTCGAGCAAGTCGTGAAAGTCCCCGAGGTTGTGCTCGTGGAAAAGATCTCTGAACACAGTTGCATGCCGAGCGGTCGTCGCACATGTCAGCAGCGACGAGCTGAGAGTCGGGACGGCGCCCCCATTGTTGCGAGGTGAGTCGCGTATCTCCTGGAGAGGAAACGGCTCAGGAAACGGAGGCCGCACTTGACGGTCCCATAACGATTATCCAGGCGCATATCGGTTTGCTCATTGATGCCAACGACGAAAAACAGTACATGGATTCGGTGTAGGAAGCAGTTGTAAGATCAAGTTGTGGGGCGCTGATCAAACAATCCGTGTCCAAGCCGCGCGAATTCATCAAGGGACGACGTGGAGCAGCGCTATGCGTTCATGCATCGTTATGGCCTTGGGCGGAAAGTACGCAACAAGTTCCTCAAAAGGGCTCAGATACCCGCTGAGCAAGACCGAAGAGTTTTTGAAATTGATGTATAAGTTGCCCAAATTGCGGCCCAGGTGATGAGCCGCATCGCGCAAACGGGAATGAGGCAAGAGCGCCCCTTCTTTGCATAACGCTCCGTGTTGAAGCCCACGGGAGAGATTATATCAGTGAAGTCAATGAAGCAATTTCCGGCTTGTGGAATAAGCATGTTTTACGACATTGATTTTCGGCGTTCCAGCGCCCCCGCCGAGGTCTTAGAGGGCCGCCCTCCCGGAGCCTAAATCGTCGCCTGTTTTGGTTTGATTTGTTTTGTTGTTTCCAGGTACTTGTTCGTTTTGCTGATCTCCTGATTGAGATCGACCAGCTGAAAATACATCTCGTTGAGACTCGTTGTTCTTGTCAAGACATTTTTGTGTGCGCTCTCATATCCCCGTCGATCTTGTCAAGATAGTATGTCTGGAGAGTTTCCAGCTGTTTCTTCGTTATGTCCTTGACATAAGTCATGCCGGTCGTGATCTGCTTGGTGTCCAGCTCGTGGCGCCCAGCGAGTGTCTCCAGGTGGTGGACCTGCAACTTCCGGTCCTCGACGTTCTTTTATTGGTCGACCAGTTGGCCTTTCGTTTCGCCGTTGATCTTGTCAATTTCTTGCATGGGAGATTCACCTCGTTGATCCGGTCAAAATGTTGCCCTGCCGCTTCGACCATTAGAAAATATTGTGAACCTCCTGCTCTGCCAGCTGCATCTTCGTCACGATGGCGATAGTTATCAACATCGGTGGTGGTACGCGCGGTGCCCAGCGCGTGCCTATCGAGCATATCTAGCTGATGGACTTGCATACAGATGTTCCAGCCTTCTTCAGGAGACCGCTGGAGCCGATGCCGAAGTACCGCGGGGCTTTCGACTCAACCTGGCTTTCCGTCTGCTCAGTGGCGATGTGGGTTTCTCCTTTGCTGCGGGCTCCTTCTTCGCGTCCAGCGACGGGCGTCTCCGAGGACGACTTGCTGTGGGTCTCCACCTCGAGGCCATGGTATTCACAACCGCCAGCGGCAGCTTCCGGGCAGCGAGCGGCATGCTGATATCCGATGCTGCGACACTGCTTGGCCAGCCCCTTGCCCCGCGAAGTGCAACGCGTCGTGCGTAGACCTCAATCCGCAGCCGCCATTCTGCGCACATTAAGGTCGAGGACGAAGGTGCTCAAAAGGCTTGAGCCCCACGCATATTCAGCCAAAATGGTCACATTGGGGAAAATGGGAGAGGAAAGGGGAGGAGGAGGAGGAGGAGGAGGAAGAGGAGGAGGAAGAGGAGGAGGAAAAGGGAGGAAGGGATGGAGAAAGGGGAGGAGGAGGAGGAGGAGGAGGAATACGTAGGAGGTGGGGTGAGACGATGGCGACCACGTTCCTTCTTCCGGTCATCCTGCTCTTCCTGTTTCTTCACATGTTCCTCCTCTTTCTCTTCCCGTTCCCCCCTTCCTCTCTCTCTTCTTCTCCTCCTCCTCGTCCTCCTCGAGGCACGGTGCGCTCCTCCTCGTCCTCTCCATCCTCCTCCTCCTCCTCCTCCTCCTCCTCCTCCTCCTCCTCCTCCTCCTCCTCCTCCTCCTCCTCCTCCTCCTCCTCCTCTCGTGACCCCTTCCAGCCCTCTGTGGCGTCGGGGCCTCCCCCAGCGAGAGGCCACCGCCGAGACCCACGCACTGCGCTCGGAGCTGGGCGCGCTGCAGGGCGAGGCGCCCCGGGGGGGGGGGGGGCCTGGCCCAGCCGAAGGCGAAGGTCCGGGCCTCGCAGGCGTGGTCCGACCAGGTCAGGGCTCATTTCGATTCCTCCGATTCGATTCGATTCGACTTCGATGGCTTCCGATTCCGATTGGATTCGACTTGGGATTCCGATGTGTGTTCCGATTTCTTATTGGAGGCACACTAGCCTGCCGATCTCTGCCGATTCGACTTCTCCCGACTCGGCTGCCGATGTCCACCGATCCGATTCATTTCGATCGCCGATCCGACTTATCGATTCGATTCTGGGCTCTCCTGCCAGGTGGGGTCAGAAGGTCGCGCCGCATCTGATCTGGGATGCGGTTCGATGTGGAGCCCGAGTGGCTCCACGCCGACGGCAGCGATGCGTCGGCGATGCGTCGCGGCCCCCCGGCCCCATCTGCTGTCCCCCGGAGCTCGCAGCGGCGCGGTGACCACACTGTCGGGTGAGCCGGTGGGGATTCGGGGCGGCCGCACGGTCTCGAGAATGCGGGCCGTTCGCAGAGGATGTTTGGGGGCGAGTGGGGCCTCCAGGGCTTCCCCGAGCGCTGCTAAGTACGAAGCCTCCGCCATCCCCTCGGCCAGTGCCAAGGAAGATTCACCAGGAGGGGGTCACCACCCACTTCCTCGTGGAAGCTGAGGGTCGAGGAGGAATGAGGATCGACTGCCGAGGAGGATTCGGGGACGTGTTGGGCGGCCGTCTCTGAAGCTCTGGGGGGCTCTGGAGGGGCCCGTGTCCTGGAGGTGGCGACCCCTCGCGCGGTGACCCCCCTTTGGTACTGCTTGGTTTCAAGTCGGGCATGACCCTCTACTTTGAGGAACATCGAAACATGGGAAAAAAAACATAGTCAGGGGACGATTTGTTTAGCATGCTTGACCATGTTGGAGTAATTCTGTTTGGACTAGTGCTAGTTCTCCTCCAGAGTCCCCCTGTAGGAGGACATGCCCGACCTCATCCCAGAGGCGGCGACCCCCTGCGCGGGCGGCCCCGCCCTTGTGTCGCTCGGCGCCTGCCCCCCCCCCCGACTCCTCGACCGTGCAGCGGAGGCCCATGCCGAGAAGCGCCCTGCTGGCCTCCAGGGGGGCCCCCGGGGGCCTTGGGCTCTGGTGGCTCTGCCGCGGGAAGCGTGCCGTTCCCACACCAAGAGTCGGGGGTGGACAGAGCCCCTAGCCCGACACGTCGATGAGTGGATTGTCCGTTTTCGGTTCTCGGGAGGGCGCCGCGGCCGTCATTTTCCAGGCTTGCGCCCGCCAGGCTTGGGCAGGAGGTCGTTCTCACTAGATCACGTTCTGCTAAGGGGGGCTCTGTCCGTCCCCGAAAGAAGCAGTGGACGCCCTGGGGTCTCAGGGTTGGGTTTCCTGTGGAAGGTTTCTTGTGGACTGGCCTCCACTGTACTCGTTGCAACCGTCTCGTCGTTACCCGAGCCGTCCTTGATCCATCTCCTCATAGCCACGTCCATGCTCCTCCTCGGCATGCCTCCGCAGAAGTCCTCCCGCACTTCGTGAGCATCCTCTCACAGGCCTGCCCCGGAGTCGCAGAGAGAGCAAGGGCTCCCTCGAGGGCGCGAAGTTATTCGCGCTTCGCGCTTCGCGGTCCTCGTTCCTTCTCCCCCTCCTCCTCGTCCTCCTATTCTCCCTTTGGGAGGGCGGCGCGAGAGCGCGAAGTTATTCGCGCTTCGCGCCTCGCGCAGCGCGAAGCGCGAAGTTGGGAGCCCTAGGAGAGGGCCGCCTCAGAGGCCGGGGGAGGGCTCCTCAGAAGCCCCCCGCCGCCTTCATGAGACGGCCAGCCCCCTCTGCTCAGGAGGAGAAAAAACACACAGACACAATTACTCGTCGATTCCCCAGATCATGTAGGAAAATATGGGAAGTGGGGGGGGGAAGACGAACAAATCCAAAAGATATCAGAAAACATGGGGGGATCCTGCTATTTGTGTCTATCTATTTGTGTGTCCTTGGGCCCCTTGATCTGCTCCCCCCCCCTTCCCGCGAGCGCCGCCGCCGTCCCCGTGCCTGCCCGTCCGGCCTCCTGCCTTCTTGTTCCCGCTGCCCCTCCGAAGCATCACCGTCTCCCAGCGCGCTCCCCGTGCAGCCAGTCTGCCCCCCCACCGGCCGCGAGAGCCGGCACGGCGCAGGAGGCACCCGCACTCCGATGCTGTGTCTCCTCCTCGTCCTCGTCTTTTGACCTCCCCCGTCTTTCTCCTCCTCCTCCTCCATCTTTCTCCGCCTCCTCTCCCATCCCTCTTCCTCTCCCCCCCCCTATTCCCCCCCTCTCCGTCTTCCGTTTCATCGATATTCCCCCCCCTTCCTCCCCTTCTTCGTCCATCTTCCTCCTCCTCCGCCTCCATCATTCTCTCCTCATCATCATCCGTTGGCCTCCTCGTCCTCCTCCTCCTCCTCCTCCTCCTCCTCCTCCTCCTCCTCCTCCTCCCCTTCCTCCTTCCCAGCTACACACCTTTCCCAAGTCAGGCGGTTGAGGAGAAGGAGGAGGTGGATGAGGAGGAGGAGGAGGAGGAGGAGGAGGAGGAGGAGGAGGGGGATTGGAAGGGGCAGGAGGAGCAGGAGGGCCCTGCCCACCTCCACCCTCGCTCCCATGAACACGAGGCTCAGTTCTTGTACAGTTGGAGACTGGGGCTGGTGCGCGGCCTGACCTGACGAGCCGAAGGTGCTCGCGCGGCCGCACGGCCCTGCTGGCGACGACTTGGCAAAAGAACAGCATGCGCCACGCCGAAGCGGGAATGCCCCCTTTGGGGGGGCCGCCAGATTTGAGATGAGAGCGCTTTCCCTCTCGCGGGCTCGCGGCCAAACTGCAGACGGGGCGTGCGATCGACAAGCATGCTTGCGAACAAGCGGGAGTGCAGTTCGAAGGAACAGTTTACGAGACGAATGGGCGAGGACGACGATCTCCCGCGCTCGGCACTGGTCCCGACGACGTGGCAAAGAAAAGTCGTCCGCTGTGCCCAGGCGGGAGCGCAACCCTCAATAGCGGCCAGCGCGTCGCCGAGGCGAGAACAACATCTCGACATCTCGCGCGCGGTGTGCGCCGCGTCTTGGTATCGCTAGGCACTTCGCAACGTTGACGACAACGTGTTCGCGCTGAGAAGGCGTTGACATTGCGTTGAAGCAGAGGTCCGGAGCCAGACCCCCCCCCGTCCCCCCCCCTACCGCCCAATGTCGCATCAAACCCAAGTCGCATCAACAATGCTGCAATAAAGCCTCCCTCCAAGTTCCCTCTCCAAAGATCCCTACAAGCATGTACTTGCATTGCGGGAAGTGCCCCAATGGAAGACAACGGTTTGAGAATATTCAACCGTATCATAAGAAAGTTTCTGGTACTTCAGCGTCGCGAATCAAAGTGATTGCTGCGTCATGACGCTCCGAGATCGTGCCAGAACGCCGTTCCCGGGATGTCAACACCGCGAGTCAACGTGATTGCTGCGTCCTGACAGCCTTGAACCATGCCAGAACACCATTCTTTAGATTTCAGCCATACGATTGCGTGTTGAGATGTTGCAACTGTTTAATCTGTTCTGGGCCAAACTTTTTCGGTCTCGTAACCAACCTTTTCTAAACAGTTGGGCGAATATTTGATATATGTATAGATGAAACCGCTCAACGCAAACAATCATTTTGAAGGACACGCAGTGCGCATGATTTCTCAGAAGTACACCACAAAACAAATGGCAAGATAGGGACGGAGACATAACCATTACGAAGGAGGGTGAAGGGGGACATACATGTTCAGTCAAAAACAGTAGCGCCGAGCGCTACACATGCGGGACAGATCAGCGCCATGCGCTCTACAGTAGAAGAACATCGCGTCGTTCTGGGCGAGGCAAGCGCACGGAGTGGCATGGCGGGCCAGAGGCAGCTGAGGATGCGCTGCGTGGCGCAGCGTTTCCCTGCGAGCTGCGATGCGACAGCGCCGAGCGCTGCGTGACGGGACAGCGCCAAGCGCTATGAGAATTCCTCCCCTTTTGGGTGAGAGTAGTTGCCGCCAATTTCATCTCGCGTCGGCGCTCGCGCCAGTGAGGCGCCGGCGACAACTACCGCGAGCCCGCCTGACACCGCAGGCAACCCACGAACGTGACGACAGTCACGCACTTCGCAGCCCCCCCAATGGAGCCGCGAGGTCTCGGCGGGATCTGTTTGATTATTGACCCTGCCAGGCTCACCACGAAGTTCACGACACTGGCGACCGTTGTGCACTTGGCAGCCGCCCGCACATTGTGCCACCCTGGTCCAGCGGCATGGTGTGCTCGGTACGGTGCAACAAAGAGGTTGCATTTGAGACGCGTATTTTTCCTCATCTGTGGTGTCATTTTGCTCTGGGAAACCAAGACAAAACGAAAAAAAAAAAAAACATTGTGCCACCCTGGTTCCGCCGGACCTCCGAGGAGCCCCGCGGGGGCGGCGGCAGCTGCACGCTTCACGCCCCCCCCCCCCGGGGGGCCGCGGGGTCCCAGGCGGATCCCCGTGCAGCCCACTCCGCTGGGCCTTCCAGGAGCCCACGAAGAAGGCGACGGTTGCACGCTTCGCAGCCATCGTGCTGCTCCACTCCGCTGGACCTCCCAGGAGCCCACGGAGCAAAGGGCGACGGTGGCACACTTCGCAGCCCCCCAGGGAGCCGCGAGGTCTCAACTGGATCCCCGTACACTTCCAGCCCGCGCGACTTCCCAGGAGCCCACGAAAAAGGCGATAGTTGCACACCTCACAGCCCCCCATGGAGCCGCGAGTTTTCAACTGGATCCCCGTACACTTCCACTTCGCTCGACCTCCCAGGAGCCCACGAAATTGGCGACAGTTTCACAATTCGCAGCCCCCCAGGGAGCCGCGAGGTCTCAAGTGGGCACCCCTACAACTCCATTCTGCTGGACCCCCAGGAGCCCACGAAAGTGGCGGCAACTTCACAGTTCGCAGCTCCCATGGAGCCGCGAGGTCTCAACTGGGTCCCTGTACACTTCCACTCCGCCCGACCT